CATGTTTACAGATAAGTAAATTCAATTTACAAAATAATTTGGAGTCTACCAATGACCCAGAAAATCAGGAAAGAGCTCTTGAAGGAGGTGGCCCTTGAAAAGAACTCAGGGTTCTAACAGGTACAGGTATGGTGCACAAGTCAGGGATGAAATGACATATGTGGCCACTTGGGGTCTTGTCATAGTATAAGCAGAAGCCTAGCAACAGTTAGGTGGTACAGTGGACAGAGTGCCAGGCCTGGAGTCAGGAACACCTGAGTTCAAATCCAGCCTCAGATACTTCTTAGCTGTGAGACCCTGGGTAAGTCACTTAACCTCTATTTGCCTCAGTTTCCTCATCCATAAAATGGGGATAATAGCATCTCCTTCCCAGGTTTGTTGTGAGGATTAAATGAGATAATAATTGTGAAGTGCTTAGCACATAGTTAAGTGCTATACAAATGTTAGTTATTCTTATTATTATTAATATGGAAATTAATATTATTGATTAATATAATTGGTTAAATTAAAACAATTTAATTTAAATATATTAAATTCATAATTTAAAATAAATATTAATATTATTATTAATATGGCAAGGTCACTGGAACCATTTTGTAGAGGACTTTGTATGCCAGAGGAGGTTATATCTCATCCTAATAACAATAGGGACAATTGAACTTCTTGAGGTGAGAAACATGGCCAGGCCTGTGCTTTAGGAATGTCACTTTGTCAGCTCTGTGGAGGATGGACTGGAGAGATACAGAGAGCCATTAGAAGATTGTTAGACTGGTCCGTGCAAGAGGTCATCAGAGTCAGAACTAAAGTGGAGAGACAAGAACGTTTCAAATTGTCTTTGCACGTAATTGGGGAACAAATAAAATATTATTAAAACCAAACAAAAATGAGTGGAGAGACAGGAAATGACCTGGGAGATTTAGAGGTGGCAGGACCTACAAGGCACAATGATGTTTCCTCTCTCTGAATCGGAGAGATCCAGGCTTCTAAGTGAGGGCATTCATAGAATTGTATTTGGGAAAGGGCCTGAGAATAATTAGCCAGAGGAGAGATCATAGGGTCACAGGTCCAGAGCTGGAAGGGGCCTTGGAGATCATTTAGTCCAATCCTCCCATTTTACAGATGAGGAATCTGAAGGGCACTTGTCCAAAGTCACCCAGGTCCTAAGTGTCCAACTCAGAATTTGAGCCCGGCTCCTCTGACTGGACAGCCAATATTCCCTCTACTATTAACCCCTTCCTCAGTTAACACATGTGGTCCTTCTTTTCCAGTAGATTACAAAGACTGGAAATACCAACACAGACAGACATCAGGCTCCCCAAGTAAATGCTAAACATCCCCCAGAGTTTAGCACAAGTGCTATAAATTCTCAGTGGGTATTAAACTGCGTTATTTCATTTGAATCATTTCTTGCTCTTTTTTATATCACAGCCATACTCATTTCCCAATAATTGCCGTTCATAGAACTCTCCTTTATAAGCAGTTATACAGAACAGACCAATGCTGCCAGTGTGTCAGAGAAGTTGTGCAATATTCAGAGTCCATACTCTACCACTTCTCCACTGAGCAGAGGGAAGAATGTTTTTTGATAAGTTTTCTGGCACCAAAAGTCATTGTGGTGTTTAGTGTCATTACTGATGCCCCTTAGCATTGTATTTATCAGGAACTCATGGAGGAAAAAGAAGATGAGGCTCGCTTAACACTTTGATTCTTTAATAGTTAGAGAATGCATTCTTTAAGGAAGACTCACCAATGAAATTAGTGCAGTGAATATATACATAAGAGCTAAGGACTGTGGGGCAGGTTTCATCGTCTATATTCTCTTGGTTCTGCATCACTCTGAATCAGTTCATTCAAGCCTTCCCATGTTTCTCTGATTCCTCATATGCAGTATATCAAACTGGGCAATAAGATCTCCCAACACTCATACTCCACAAGTTGTTCAACAATTCCCTAATCAATAGGTACCCACTCTGTTTCCAGTTTCTGGCTACTAAAAGAAAATTTGAGCTGCATTGACTGGAGCAAATGAAAGAATGGAATAATTCAATAACCCCATACTGAACCATATGAGCAGAGGATGAAGGGTGTATTGGGAAGAAGAGAGAGGACCATGTTCAGACAGAATGGGGTCAGATGAAATGTATTACCCCTTGATTACAATTAATCAAGGAAGGCTGCATGGGGTGGGTGGGGTGAAGAGGTGGAGAGTAGAGGTTAGGAACTGCTCTTAGGAAAGAGAGAAGAGGGCTTGTTTATACTTGTCACCTTTAACAGCTTGAGATACATCTTGTTTGAGAGAACTGAAAAGGAAGGTATTGCAATGGGGTGAGGAGTGGCGATATGTGAGTGCAAGAGGGCTGCTCAGAGCACATCTGGACCCTGAAGCTCTCTTCATCTTTCCCATTCTCTTCCCCAAGAGCTAAATATCTCCATTTTTAAAAAAGGGAGGGTAAAAGAAACTTCTTGGTAATAAATGCACATGACCCCTTATAAGGCAATCTATATCTTGTCTCTCACTCAATTTATCCAAAGTGGTTTTTCTAAAAGGCCAAGTCATCAATTAGTGCCAATGTCCACTGTGAAAAATGAGGCTGCTGGCCCTCACTATTCTGAGGGGGAAAATCCTGTTTTTGCTGGCAGGTGACCTCTGCTCAGAGCTGGCATGGTGTAGTGGATAGAGAGTTGGTCTGGAAGTCAGGAGGACCTTCAAGTACTACTTCTGATACATACCAGCTGTGTGACCCTGGGTAAATTATGTAACTTCTCAAAGCTTCTAAAACTATAAAGCTAAGACTAATGCTCTCTATGACTATAGATTTTAAAGTAAAGGCAGATCTGTATTGGTAGGGGGTTTCACTCAGTGAGAATTGCCTATGCCAAGGAAATCATAGTTCTGGTTAACAAAGCCCTCTGCTGAGCAGTACTGGTGGGCATTTTGACTTGTATGTTTTGGGCCTTAAATCTTGATTGAATTCAGTTACTTTGTCTTTCCAATAGGTTGCTTAAGATTGCAAAGGATTTCCTTCCTCCAGATTTTCTGTTGGCTATGATGGGATTTCATAGGATGTTAGAAAACTAGAGCTATGTGTAGTCTTAAAGATTATCTAGTCCAGGGGTGGGGAACCTGCAGTCTCAAGGCCACATGTGGCCCTCTAGGTCCTCAAGTGCAGTCATTTGACTGAATCTAGTCCTATCCCCTCATTTTGTAGATGAGGAAACCAAAGCCTAGAGAGGTTAAGTGATTTGTCTAAACTAATAATAATAGCTAGCTATTATTTACACAGCACTTTAAGGTTTGTAAAGCACTTTACAAATATTATCTCTTTTGATCCTCCCAACAGTCCTGGGAGATAGCTGCTATTATTATCCTCATTTTACAGATGAGGAAACCAAGGCAGAAAGGTTCAGTGACTTGCCCAGGATCACCCAACTAGTAATAAGTGTCTGAGGTTGGATTTGAACTCGGGTCTTACCTGACTCCAGGTCCACCACTCTATCCATTGTGCTACCTAGCTGCCTATTAATGTAATTAATTAGTGCAGAGCTGATCCTAGAACCCGGGCTACCTTACTCCTTGGTCAGTTCTCTTCCCTTTGCTGATGAGCAGCACAGTGTTCATCAGATTTATTCAGGATTCATCTCTATTCCTGTTTCCCCTACCTCCTCTTTTCAGTTGATCAATCAGCAAACATTTAAGTATCTTCTATGTGCCAGGGGCTGTGCTAAGTTCTGGGCAATAGAAAGTCAAAAGGGACCCACATGTACAAAAATATTTATAGCAGTTCTTTTTGTGTTGGCAAAGAATTGGAAACGGAGAGGATGCCCATACATTGGGGAATGGCTGAGCAAGTTGTGGTATATGAATGTGATGGAATACTACTGTGCTATAAGAAATGATGAACAGGCTGACTTCAGAAAAACCCGGAAAGACTTGTACGGACTGATGCTGAGTGAAGTGAGCAGATCCAAGAGAATGTTGTACACAGTAACAGCCACGTTGCGCGATGACTAATATTGACAGACTTAACTCTTTTCCAGCAATACAAGGATCTAAGACATCTCCAAAGGTCTCATGATGGAAAATGCTATCGACATCCAAAGAAAGAACTATGGAGTTTGAATGCAGATCAAATCATACTATTTGCTATTTTTTTCTCCTCTTGTGTTTTGTTTCCTCTTTCTGGTGGTTCCTTCTATTGGTTTTAATTCTTACTTACAACATCACTAATTTGAAAATATGTTTAATAGGAATGTATACGTATAGCCTATATCAGATTACTCGACATCTTGGGGAGGGAGGTGGGAAAGGAGGGGGAGAAAAATTTAAAACTCAAAAACTTATGGAAGTGATTGTTGATAATTCAAAATAAATTAATTTAAAAAAAAGAAAATCAAAAGGGAAAATCATCACTGCCATCCAAGAGCTTACATTCTAATGGGGAGACAGAACATACACAAACAGACTATATATAAAAGACATACAGCATTGCCTAAAATAATCTTTTCTTCTCCTTACTTTGCTTAACACTTTTAACTGTTGGGAGAATTTTCCCATGGGAGTTCTAGCTTCCCTTGGCAGAAGCTGAGGGTCACAACCTGTTGCGTGGCAAAAACAAGGAAGTCTCACAAGACCTCTCCTTTGCTGACACGCAGCTCCCACAGTCGGCTCGGCTCTCCTCTCGTTGGGAGAAAAGTCCTACTCGTACCCCTGACACGAGGGCTGCAGGTGTCTAGCAGACTTGGTGATTGGCTATCACGTGGAGATCATGCTTTGATCAGGTGTTACTAGGGACATAAAAGAAAGCTACTAGCACTTAATAAACGGAGCTTCTCCCATCTCGCTGTCTCCCGCCTCATCAATGCACCTCCGGGTTAAGAGTATCGAGCTGGTCTCATGCTCACCACCGCAGTGGCCGCATCATTTAACTTTATTATATTCTTTACAGTACATGTATGCATGTATGTACCTCTCACATTCCCCATACTGGATTCTAAGTTTCATGAAAGCAGGGACAATTTCTTATTTCGAGAGCCATAACAGAACGGATAGAATTCTTGGAGCCAGGGAGATCCAGATCCAAGACCTGCCCCCAACACACACTAGCAGTGTGACCACAGTTGACCAGTGTCTCGGAGCTCGCCCACCCCGGGAGCTCTACAGCTCCGCTTTAGAGGCGAGTTCTTAATCGTGTCACTAAAAGCTGCCTCGGGTGTCCTCTCCTCCCAGACTGACACCGTTTGTTTATTCTCTGTTCCTCCTCCTCCCTCTTCAACCATCTGGCCTTTCACAAAGTCCACATCGCCTCCCCTGAGAGAGGCGGCCTTCTAAGGGACATTCATTTCCTTCTCTTGCAGTGCATCGTCTGGGATTGGGACTCCAACGGCAAGCATGATTTCATTGGAGAGTTTACCTCGACGTTCAAGGAGATGAGAGGAGCGATGGAAGGGAAACAGGTGAGAGCTGGGCGGGAGTGGGGGCATTCCTGGGTTGTTTCATTCCTTAAGCATTTACTCTGAAACTCGGGAAGGGTCACTGTTGAGCCCTGTGACTCTGAGTGGCTTTGTTCAGGCCTTTTCTTACAGCCTTCCTTTAGAGACGGGGACAAAGGTTACAAGAAGCAGTCACGTAGCCAGCATCGAAAGCACAAGGCAATAGGGCTTCATCCGTGAGCAGACTCTCTCCAGCCATGCAGATCAGAACCCTTCTTTAACTTACAGTCCTTGGGAATCACCTGAAGCTCATCAAATCACACACCCATAGTCATAGCTAATAGGGGTCAGTGGTGGGACGTGAACTCAGGTCTTCCTTATTCCAAGCCCAGTGCTCTGTCTAACCAGTGGATAGAGTGCTCTGTAGACAACAACAGGATGGACAGGGAACGGGGACCTGGGATTTCACTGATACAAGGAACACCTGATGAAGAAATCCCTTCTACCAATGCAAATTGGCATTCTCTCTGCACCTTGCGGGTATCTGTGACATTAAGAGAATGGGGCAGCTACATGGCCCCGTGGATAGAGCACTGGGTTTGGAATCAGGGACTCATCTTCCTGAGCTCAAATCAGGCCTCAGACACTCACTAGCTGTGTGACCGTGGGCGAGTCACTTAACCCTGTTTGCCTCAGTTTCCTCCTCTACAAAATAAGCTGGAGAAGAAAATGGCAAACCACTCCAGGATTTTTGCCAAGAATATCCCCAAAATAGGGTCACAAAGAGTCAGCCATGACTGAAATAAACCAACAACACCAACTAAGAGATTACATGACTTGCCCAGGGCCAAATAGCTAATATATGTCCGGGGCAAGACTTGGACCCAAATCTTTCTGACTTTGAGGTTAGCTCTCTATCAGAAATACACATCCCCCCCCACACTGCTCAGATGAAAATATACAAGGGAATATAATTGTGTCAAATGAAGCAGTATGATGGGATGAAAAGAGCATTGGCAAAAGATGGTCAGAAGATTGGGCTTTTCCTTCCTTTTTCCTCATGTTTCCCCCTTTTCTCTTCTCCCTTCTGCTACCTGATTTTTGGTCATCATGCACCCATTAGAACTTCCCACATCAAGTGAAGAGAAAAAGGAGAGGGGAAAGAGGGAGTGGGGGGCATGAAAGTCCAACCAACCCATTGGATTTCTGATATTGGTGAAAAGTTTATTGGGGAGAAATTTACAGCCAATTAAATAAAATTACTCCTATCAGCACATCAGTAAGGATAGCTGTCAGAGGTCTTCAAGATGTGAAATTCACACATTACTTTCTCCCTAACCAGCAAACATTTCTATTAGGCCCTGATGAATGCTTGCTTGCAAGGTTGATCTAAGCTTGGCGTATCACCAGGACATTCTGAATTAGGGACTACTAAACTAGACCCCACAGGGAAGTCCTTCCTACATTTAAGGCGTTCATCATCTCAACCCCTAAAGAGACCACCTCCTCCAACTCCAGTAAGAGCAGAAACCATATTGTGTAAGGCACAATATCACGTCCTTGTGCAAGGCAAAATGGTCACATTACCAAGTCATATCTTACATGTGCTTAACACTTTTACATCCAGAAATCCCAAGGGCTTATCATTGTACATTTGGTGCTGAACACTGATCCACAAGATTCACAATTCGCAAGATTCCTGGTTCTACTCTCAGAGGAGCTGGATTTGAATCCTCCTAATTCTGCTGTTTATACCACCTGGATGACCTAGGGCAAGTCACTTCACTTTGTGCGGGTACTCCGTCTCTTCCCTTGGAAAATGAGGAAGTTGGACGAAATGATCTCTAAATCTTAAGAGGACCAAAAAAAGAGCCCCACGAGGTCAATAGCACTTTGTCATCATTTTACAGGCGAGAAAACTCATCAGTGGGGTTAAGTGATTGGTCCAGCACCAAACCCACATTTTCTGATTCCAGTCTAATGTTCTTTGTACTACATCTCACTGTCCACTACCTCATTTTATCATTACACCAGCCCAGAGAAGCAGGTAGTTGACATCACCCTCATTTCCCGATGAAGACATAAAGGTTCAGAGGGATTGTGACTTCTCAAAAGTACATAATAAGTTAATTATAGGAAGAAACTAGACCTGAATTCTCCTGCTACCCAACACATGCTTTCTCTACCACAATGATGGATATCACTGTTCAAATACTCAAGTGGTAGATAAAGGGTAAGAGAACATAGTCTATCTCTTACTTAACATTTTATTGTGGGGTTTTGTGTATACATCTATATCAAAATAGTCCCTCCAGGAGGACCTGAGTTCAAACCTCAACTTTGCAACACATCTCCAGTTTACACCCTTAGACAACCCATTTTTTCCCCTCTGACCTCAGTTTTCCCATCTGTAAAATGGGGTAGTGGTGATAAGACTAGATGTTCTTGAAGGTCCTACATGTTACAGGAGAAAGAGTAATGAATTTAGACTCAGAGGCTGTCAAGAGACAGTGTGCTGAGATGTGTTAGATAGTCAGCCTTGGAGTCTGAGTTCCAACCTCCCTCCCAACATATATTGGCTATGTGACCCTGGACAAGTCACTTAACTTTTCAGTGCCTCAGACATCTCTAAGACTATAGAACAGTTGCTGATCTGCATCGGCCTGAAGCAATGGAATAGATGACTTCTGAGTTGCCTCCCCCCCTCAAACCTACTGTCCAGATTGTCCTTCAGATCCAAAGACTCAAAGAGAAACTTGTCAGAAAGGCGAGACCTTAGGAGGTTGCTCCCAGAATAGTCATACCAGTGTTGGCAAGGGGCAGTGAACCAGCAGGCCCAGTGTTGGCTAAAGCCCCTAGAAATCCAGGGACAGGGACAATTTCATGAGAATTCATTAGGTCATCTCCTAACTGGGTAGACACTGGGGCCAGTAATAGTGGACGAAAATCAATCCCTCTGCTGTTTTAACCTCTGTCACAATTAAGACTTGGGCATCCAAGTCAGGGCTGTAAGTGAGGACCAAAGAGTGACTGGACAGCAACAGATTGAAATTAAAGGGAGAGAGGTCATTTCTGTGCCCTGCCTATTTAAAAACATCTCTGGTGGCCCAGCATGGTGAAAACCAATGCTTCATGGAGGTGGCCCAAGGCTTTCTCCTTAGACCAAGTTTAAAGTCGAGATGTGATCAGACTGAGTGGGAAAACTGACCCTACAGAGACTTGAGGGCCATTCCAGTCATTCTAAGCCAGCTTTTCCAAGACCTAGAAACCTCAAGATTCATTTGGTCTGGGCTTTAGCATAGTCCCCATGATAGATGATGTCAGTTACAAGGCATACCCACCATGGAGGACTAGCTGCCTGACAGAAAATGCAAGGGATCCCCAAGGCATGCTACAACAGTGACTGGACTAGGGACCCCAAAGCTGAGAAGGGAGTTAATTCCCCCTCAAAACAACGGGGAGACAGACCACCCCACAGGAGACCATGGAGAGTTAACAGACCAACAGTGGTGCCTGTTACTGCCTCGAGTTAAAATGTGGTCAAGGATTTCTAAGTTGGACAAGACTGTAGAAGTCATCCGTTCATTTTTAAAATTTGAGAGTAGCTCAAGGTTACATAGCTCAACTCAATTCAAGGAACATTTATTAAATGTCTTCCATTTTGTACTGATGCATCTGCGTGGCACTGTGGATAGACAGCAAGATTTGGAGTCTGGAAGAACTGAGTTCAAATCCTGCCATAGACACTTATTTGCTGTGTGACCCTGGGCCAGCCATTTAACCTGTCTTTGCCTCAGTTTCCTCATCTGTAAAATGGGGATAATAATAGCACCTATCTCCCAGTGTGGTTGTGAAGATCAAATGGGTTAGCATATAAAGAGAACTTTGCAAACCTTAAAGTGCTAGTTAAATGTTAGCTATTATTACATGATCCTGTAATACTATTATTTATCCTAGGAGGCTATTTAAAATTAAAATGTTACATATCTCAATTAAATGCCTCCCCCCTCCCAATACCTAATGTTTTTTTTTAATTTAATAAAGTCTAATCTAAAGATTAGGGCAGCTAGGTGACATAAACAGATAGAGCACCTGGCCTGGAGTCAGGAGAACCTGAGTTCAAATGTGGCCTCAGACACTTACTAGTTGTGTGACCCTGGGTAAGTAAGTTAACACTGTTTGCCTTAGTTCCTCATCTGTAAAATGAGCTGTGGAATGAAATCACAATATACTCCAGTATCTTTCCTAAGAAAACCCAAATGGGGTCACGAACAGTCAGACACAACTGAAAAAAAAAATTCAACAACAACAAAATCTAAAGATACTCTCCAAGAATTCTCTGGTCCACTTCATGGAAATATGTTCTGCAATACTTCTATGCATGACTGTTTTGGTAACTGACTAAATAAATAACTGTTCAGCCCCCACACTGTGGACACCTGATATATTCACAACATGGGGACTCTTTACTTACTGGTTTGTTTTATTTATATTTTGGAAGTGGGGAATGAAGTCAAAATGAAACTATCCTTGCTAAATGGCTTCTGTGGAGGCTGGTTTTGACTTTGCCTTAATTGGAATTTAGAAAATGAGCTTCTCCTGACTCCCCTGCTGGCTGACCTCTTTGTTCGACGGGCAAAAAGAAGAAACCTGTCACTCTCCATCCTGTGGTTACGTTTGAACCTTTGACACCATCTAGGGAGCACTGGAGATGCCAGTGGGCCCAGAGCTGACTTCAAGTATCTGAAGGGCTGTCATGTATGTAAGGGAGGGAGGAGGCGCTGAAATTTTTCTTCTTAGCCCCTCAGCTGGAAGTTACAGAGAGACAGGTTTTAGATTTGCTTTAAGAGAAAAGCTCCTAACAGAGCTGTCCACAACTTAAGTGCTGCCTGGGAAGGTTTGCTCTGAGAGAAAAGCTCCTAATGGAGCTGTCCACAAGTTGAGTGCTGCCTGGGAAGGATGTGGATTCCCCCCTCACGGGGAAGTCTTCACGAAAAGGGCCAGGTGACCCTTCACTGGGAGTC